CTAAAATTTTTCGTAAAATAATAATACTGACTTTAAATCACTTTTAAAATCTTTTTACCCATTTTTTACATTAATTATATTCAGCTGGATGGCATCATCAAACTGCGAAAAACGTAAATTTTAAAAGATTTTTTTTGCTTTCAAACTTACATAACTGTACTCATGCACCAATCTCTATAGATGCATATCAAAAGTCTGCAAAAATAGATTGAAAAAAAAAACAACAATTAACAACTGTCAGCTACCTGAGAAATAAATATCGTAGAGGGGCACCTGTATAAAATATATACAGGCCCTCAAAATTCAAGATTTCACTCTAGATTTTTTTGACGTCTCAATTTTTTGTCCTAAGGGTCTATACGTTACAATTCATTCAAAATTTTACCACAATTTAGATTATTTTATATACCGCCCTTCAAAGGGTTAAACCCAGTAAATTTTTCATTAAAAAAATTACTACATAAATTAAATAAAAAAAATTACTGAAATGCTTATTTTAATGCAAGTCACATCTGTAAGATTAAATGTTGCTGATAAAGTCATATGAATTTTTCTACAGTGTATGGTAAACCAATAGATTTAATGGACACACAGTGATATACCATGCAAAGTAAAATTATTATGTTTAAATAGAAAATAACCACATTTCTAACCTGCTTACAAATAAGAAAAGTGTAAAGTAATCAAGTACTAACCTTTCCTCTTTTATACAGGGTTCATAGCCACATTTTAGTTAAAAAAATAAGTACCTATAAGCACTTTTCAAGCACATTTTAAGGGAAAAAAAAAAAAAAAGCACCTGTCTAATTACATTATACACAACTGCATAACCTTAAAAATTAGATTCGTAATTTAAAATATGAGACATGCAGTATTTATTAAGCGAGAATAAGCATTACCTCAACCATGAAAAATAATTACTTTTTTTAAATTTTAAATAACAGTTCAATTTATAGAACTAGTTTACAACGAGAGGAAAAAAAAACAATGCTGAACTAAACTATATTACAAGATTTAATGATGAAATTTCAGTTCAAAATAGAGGAAATAAATAATAATAAGGCATATTTATTCTATTCGCTTGGAACTTAATAATAAATACAATTTATTTTTCCACTCATATGATATTTAACTAATTTAAATATAAATTCTGAACATTTTCTAAATTTTTATCGTATATCAGTTTTCCCTTAACAGATATTGCAAGCAAAGTAATTTAAGTAAAAAAGAGGAACATTTCTGAAATCAGAAGACAGAAATTTGTTTCACGCAGTTATCCTCTAACAATAAAAGCTTAACTACCCGCATACTTGAAAATTGGCGAATATTTGGACAGTCGAACGTAACTTGAAAAAGAGGAGCGGAGGGGGGGATAGACTGTAGCCGTTCTTTAGATTTTTCCGCTAAATAAATGCTTTTGACATTTCGATATGTGAATCATATAAAAACAAACCACGGAACAAAAATATTCTGCTTTGCATGCACAGTAAAACTCTCTTAAGTGTTCATAAACAAATCTCGGACCGAACATCAAAATTAATTATCTCTGCAAAATATGGTAAACGTTATTGCGCAGTACGTGCGCCGTAATTCTTCCCCACGTGATATTATGCAATCGGATTCAACAGCTGCTGGTATTGGGAGAATAAAGAACTAAAGAAAAAGAAAGAGACTTAACATTCTGGGGTGTTTTTCACTCTAATTTTCAACAGACTGCATTAAATTTCCGGAATAGAATAATTCTTCGTTTGGGTTGGTAGACCGCAGAACTTTTAGTCCTATTCAATCCAGATTGGAAAGTGACGAAAAAAAAAGTCCGTTGCTTGTTTTGCAGCGAACTGTAACAGTTTCAATATTGAGATTTTGCGGAGAAAGGTGAGAACTTCCCAACCTTCGTACTGCATAATGTATTGGCCAAAGAAATAAAATTATTTTGACTATTCGATTACTTGCCCTTTAGTTAAGCCATTCCGAATATTATTCCTTAGAAAGCCAATCTGTGTTTAAACACAACCATTTTTAGAAGTTTACTATACTTCAGCAGCTACTGCAACTATGTTATTATAAACATTCATACATATGCTCATAATATAAGCATAACAATCATAATAAACACGAATATGAACTGACCAAGTGGAACGAGAATGCAAATTATTAAGATCTTGATAGAAATTCAAACGTGTGTAGTATTTGGGTGGGAGGAAAAGAATGCCGAATGTACCGTAATTTTCTACTGCTTTCACAATTCTTTGACCAACAGAACGACGGGCACCTGTCTGTACTCTCCATACACACCAAAGGTAATGCAGAGAAAGAGGGAAAAGCTATTTCCGGGAGTATGATTCACCATCTGACATTCCATATTGGGAAGAAAAGTTGTTTATTTAGTTTCGGCTTTGGTACGGGGAAAAATTGCATGTTCATTTAAAAAAAAAGCACTAAAAACAAAAAATTAAGGGCTTTAAAGAAAAGGTAAGCACCTATAAGGGCCTTTATATTTTATTTTCAAATATAAGGACTTATAAGCACTTATAAGGACCGCTACGAACCCTGTTTATAGGAAATCTGTAGAAATATATTCCATCTAATTTTGAACTTTTTTTAAGAGAGGAATTAAAAAAAAAAAAAAAAAAAAAAGTGAAAGAGATACACTGTTTTTTCAGATATAAATTAATCTAATAAAATTAGTAATTCCATTAGTTTCAGGTAACTGAATTGAGGAGAAGGAGGAGGAAGTTTTAGTTAACAGTGCAACCGCTCCAATCAACCCATTTGGCGGCAGGTTGCAATATGGGATCGGCAACGCTTCTCTTGAAGCAGCTATGGCTTCCACAGAATTTTTAGGAGGGGGAGTTTTAAGTCATAACTTTTATTTTAGATTATTACTTAAGCTTACTTTTAGATTATTACTTATTACATTTTAGATTATTACTTAAGCTATCATATATGTTAAAATTAGCATTTAATAGTCACTTTTCTTTATGAAATATATTTAAAAAATTGCTTACTGTAAAAATAATTTTCGGATAAGCTATTCATATTATTCTTTAAAACTTACATTTATTTTTAATTGAGAAAGCACATCAAAATGAACTTCAAAATTAGTTATAAAAAGTACTAGAAAAACTATTTACAAGAAGAATTATCAAAATCTTTCAGGGAAAGTGGAAGGCAGGCATACAGCTCAATTTCTGAAAATGTGCTCGTATCAGAATCTCTAGAAATATCACTTTAGATAATGAATAGTCATTCTCATTCATATCACTAATTGGCTCATTTACTACGCAAGCAAATCCTTCCTCTCATAAATAACGCTTTCTTGCCACAATAAAAAAGGAAGAATGTGAAATATATAAGAAGACAACGCAAAGTGTAACTAACAGAATTTCACATAGTAACCCTAAAAGACCCTATAAAGTATTTTTAAAAAGAGAACTTGGATATTAGAAACGCTAATGTTTAGAAATGGCTAGCTAAACAGACAAGCCTTGTTTGTTTACATTATGTTTTCCCTCCTCCCCTGAGTGAGTCATGTTTCTCTCATTTCAAGTAGAAGGTCAAACCTACATGTACCTCAAATCCTATGGCTATGCAATGCCATCTTGAGGCAAAAGTTACAGTTTGTAAAACCTTCTGACACTGGCACAAATGTGTGCAGGCGGGGGTGTGCAAGAAAACACTCTAATGGGTACGTTTCTTGTTGGCACGTATGTGTGACAGTCTGTGGCGAAAGGTTTAAGGAAGGAAAAATATAATTTTTTGTATAAGTTTATTCTTACATTTTTGAATGATTGTAATGTGGGTATTGGGTAATTTTATCCTTTTGTGACATTGGAAGGAATGTGGTAGTTTTATCCCTTTATAAATTAGATATATGCTTGAGAGATAAAATTTTTTCAACTTTTTTTGAAACAGAATCATGTCTATAACATGGCTTCATAAGTAGGCATCTTTCTAAGAGCTGTCCTTGCCTACATTTTATGCATATCTTAAAATAATATACTCCATGTGAACTAGCCGAACATTTGCTGAACATCATGATGTGGCTTATACTGTAAGCTTCATGAAAAAATAGAATGAATCTTCTTAAATCTAGTTTTTTGACACCATCTTTTGTTCCCTTCCAAGGCTAACTTTACGTGGTCAGTTGAAAGCAGTCGGTCTGTGGCTTGCAAGCCCTTAACAGCAGATTTGATTAAGAGGCTGCTCTCTTTAAAAGGGACTTATTTAAATATATCTCCTAGCAGGCCTTAGAATGCTCATATTATGATGTACAGAAAAAATAAATAATTCAATTAACTTAATTAATATGTGTTGATTGTTTTTATTTGCCAATGAACACTTACTAAGCATTGCTGCCAAATTTCATGACAATTTGTCTCTCTGACCCCAAAGCTTCTCATACAATTTTAGGTAATGAAAATAAATAATATTTCTGTTTGTGTAATATCTAAGCTATTACTATTCAAGAACGTTCTTCCTATTCAAGAACGTTCTTCATTCTGACATAATATCACCCACACAATTAAATGAATTTAATAACCAGCCTTCAGAAGCAAATTAAAATAGATTTAATCAATTTTGTCATTAGTGGGCATGTCTGTTTTTACATCTTCTTTCAAACTAAATACTTCAGCTCAAAACATAAAATTATTATTACTATTTTTTTCCCCTTATACAAGACAAACAGCAGAAATAACATCTTTGAGATAAACTTAGTTTGCTCAGATCAGAAATCTGTCACTGAAATTTAAGTCTTAAAAATAAATAAAAAATTAACTTTACAGATTTATGGATTACACTTCAGAAATTCTGGATTTTAGAAAGCATATAATCCAGAATTCCAGCTATATTTGGACCACAGTCACTCCTGACAATAACAACAAATATAATTGATTTTATTATTTTTAATGTTATAATTAGATCTGAGCTCATGAAGTATCCATTACATTGCATTATGAAATAACCTTAAAAATTATCTGTGACTGTTAGTCTGATACCTTTCTCGACGTGACAGCTGTGCATTTTCATCTAATTTCAATTCTTCAACTTTCTTCTCTTTTTTTACAACTCGGTTGGGGTTTTCTATTTCTATCAAATGCTGGACACCCTTTGCTTTGGCCTGAAATAAGATATTTCTTAATAAATGTACCTATGCTTCTCATAATCAACATATTTATTATAAATACAAACTTGTTGATATTTTTACTTTTTAAAATTTACTACTACACATACATATAATGAAATAATAGATGTTTTCTGGTAGCATAAATTACGAATAAAAGTCAAATTAAATAAGAACTCCTTATAACTGTTACGGACTATGACTAAAATCCTGTAAAGTATATTTTAACAAATAGATATATTCATGAGCAAGAATGTTGATGGTGTAGAAGTGTTGATCCATAATGACTAGGAAATTGGAGGCAAAGGCAGATTAAATCTTCAGTTTTATTTTCAGCAACATGTTGCGGCTACACACAAGTCGGCAAATTAAATGTGCCTGTTCCATAAAGCTTACATTTTTGAATGATTTGCAGCAAAAATGAATGGGCACACAAACTGCAGTCCAGCTAAGGCAAAGCGTAGGAAGAAAGTGTGTAATGTTCAGGATGAAATCTTAAGCCAAGCTGATTTAGTCAGTTTTAGTTCTCAAAGCATTTTGATTGGATATTTAATATTGCTGTAAAATTATTATTGGCTGCTTGAGTTTTAGTTCAATTTACGTTTCAAATTAAGTAAGAGACATATGACATAGATTTTACTTGAAATGACACAGTGCAAATAGATGTTGCTATTTTTAGAACAGAGAAGGGAAATTAATTTACGCTGCTAATTTAATCTTTTACATATTCTTTATTTTTCTTACATATCTACCTCTTCAAGAAGAAAAAGGCATAGCGACAGAGAAGCCTTCTTAAAGAAAAAGCGTTAAAGCACTAGCAAATGAAAAAAAACATAAATCATAAAATTTTGAAAATAAATTTTTAGAGTCCTATTGAATTTTTCAGCATTTCAGACCAAAAGTCTTTTTGTTTGAGAGTTCACTTAATCATAATTCTTCAGGTAAGGTTCTTGTTATCACAGAATATCATAAAATAAAACTTTTACATAATCATTACTTTAAATTAATGTAGCATTTATTTACTAATTTCCATACTGATAAATTATATTTTAATACCATAAATATAATAGTAGTAACAATTTCAGAAATTATGGTTTCACAGTTATTATCTTTCATTTACAATTCCTGAGTTTACCAAACTGGAAGGCCTCACAATACTTCTAAACAAACATATCCATCAATAGGGCTGTCCTCTTGAGCTAACCAGTGTGTTCTCTGCACTGGTCGCCCAGGGTGCCTAGGCAGTTACTTGAAAAAGCCTCCGTTCCTTGCATAAGGTAACTGGCCTTTGAGAACTGCACTAATACATTCCACTAATAAAAAAAATTATACACACTCATAAAATGAGAGCCTCCAACATTATCTCCAACTCTTATCTTGAAGAGGGTAAAAGGAACAACTGTACAGAGGTAATTACAAGCCTCTGTTTAGGAACCAGTACTCTCAGCATACTCTATACTTAACACATAATCACCCATAAATTTTAGCATGCATTTACCATAATTTCATATTACTTATCTGTACTAATTTCTACATCTACTTCATTTTAAAATAATTATAGAATTTGCATTTAAAATTTTCAACAAAATTTCAAAAATATAAAAACTTATCTTAATAAGCCTTTCCTAAAAATTATTAAAAATCTAAGAATTCTTTACTTACTTTACTAAATTATAATTATTATTATTATTATACGTAATATGAAATTTTTATACTCGAATTCAATTTTCTAATATCATTAAATTATTAAATTATAAGTGTTTATTTTTAATGTCCAATTTATTAAGGGGAAAAAATATCAATTCCCAACGTAGATTCAGTTATGCAAAAGCAGAAGCGAAAATAATTTTTTGGCACCTACTTTAAGTGTAAATTTAATCCCATAACAAGATGTGCAGTTCGATGACCTTGAACGGACTGGAATGAATTGAAACATTAGCACTCGGAAAACATTCTTCATTTTGCTGTAAACAAACGCTGAATTAATTTTGAAAGGCTGGCACTAGATTTCATTTTTAAGCACTTGCAGCAAATATATTATTTGATTTTTTTTTCCACATTTTTATATTGCTGTTGAATTACATCGCACTTATTGAATCACTGCATATGCTAGATTAAATTTCAAAGCATGGATTTTGACTTTAAATACACTTGTTTTGGAACGATTCGGTGTAGTTGATTTGCTGATAACAGGTTGTGCACATAGATTGACGGAGCCGTACGTATATGAAGATACAGGCATTAATTAACTAATTTGCTTTCACAGTCGCAGCCACAATTTGGATGATAACACTTCTGTGAAGAACAGACACACTTTAAACTGATGATTTAAAACTTTCCTCCCCTTCTTTTTCTGTACAATTCGTTTTCACTGACGTTAGCACTTTTGGACTTGCAAGTACTCGATATCCATTATGAATTTCCGTTATACATGGAAGTTTGAGGAGATGGTTGGTTATTGCAGACATTTCTACTGGAATTCCAACGCACAGGACATGTGTTCTGTCGTCTCAATTGTAATATATTCAGGAGCAGGAATTTTGATGGCGTAGAAGTGTTGATCTATAATGACTAGGAAATAGGAGGCAAAGGCAGATTAAATCTTCAGTTTTATTTTTAGCAACATGTAGTGGCTACACACAAGTCGGCACGTGAAAATGTGCCTGTTCCATAAGGCTTACATGTCTGAATGATTTGCAAGAAAAAAGAACGGGCACACAGACTGCAGTCCAGCTAAGGCAAAGCGTAGGATGAATGTGCGTAATGTTCAGGATGAAATCTTAAGTCAAACTGAGTTAGTTTTGGTTCTTAAAGCATTTTTTGATTGGATAGTTAATATTGCTGTAAAATTATTATTGGCTGTTTGAGTTTTAGTTCAATTTACATCACCACAATTACGCGATTCATATGACATAGACTTTTCTCGAAATGACGCAGTGCAAGTAGATGCTGCTATTTTTAGAAGAGAGAAGGGAAATTAATTTATGCTGCTAATTTAACCTTTTACATATTCTTTATTTTTCTTACATATATATTTAAAAATATGTGATCACATTGGTCATTTAAAAATGATGTATTTTTATAGTCATAAAATAAAGATTTTTTAACATGGCAATTAAAATTGCTGCTGCTGCTGATTTTTTTAAAGAGGATTAATGGAAGCATATTCCATTTCCTTGATAAAATAATACACACACACAACACAAAAAAAAAAAAAAAAAAAAAAAAAAAAAACCTCTACACATGGTTTTTGAAAAATGCAAGGGTATTTTACATTTTTGCAGTCACAACTATAACAAAACCTTTAACAATATAACCTTATCAATGCATATGAAACTCGTATCATTTAGAAACCAGTGAAAAATTTCAATCTTGTTTTCTGCTTGTTGGCTGATATTTTCAGATGCACCTATTTTCACATGCATATAGATTGATAACACTTTTGGGGGGGGCAGAAATTGAAGGTCTGGGAGTAAATAATGAAAATCTGACAACAGTCTCTTGCTAAGATTATAACATAACTCTCACGTGATCTGGTGATCATTTTACTGCAGTTGACAGGAAGACCTACTGTATCTCATATATCTCAATCTGGAGTATTTTGTCACTGCTATTTTCACTTATTAATTGCTTAGCTATTTAAGAATTTTATAAAAACCCGCAACATATTAAGTCAAACCTTTTTTTTTTTTTTTTACTTAAAAGAAAAGTAAAAATAAATCCTTTCAAATTGTGATTTCAACAAGAGATGACATATAGTCTTAACAACTACAAAATAATGTACTACAATAAAATCTCACTTATTGGAAGCAAATTATATGTAGGCACTTGGCATAATACAGTCCCTCTCCAATAAACTATGGGGATAGTTAAAGAATAGAAATAAGAGCAATCCATTTTGTATATCTATTTATCAAAAATAACTGATTTTTGAGTTGCTTACAAACAATTACATCATGTTACTATCTAAGAGCAGTCACTATGAAAGTCATAACACATTCAGAGTTCATCGTATTTGCATATGATATAGCTTAGTAATGAATACCTATATGTTAGTTTATGAAAGTGGAAGAAAATTTGGTTTAAAAAAGTTGAAACAACTGGTTTTCGAGATTTAAAGATTTGGTGTTACTTTTCTGTCATTTTGTTTAAGAAACATTTTATGCTAGTTGCGATAATAGTGATTGATAAAAACTGATATCACTTCTAGAGCAGAGGTTCGTTACCATTTTTTGCGGTCAGCACCCCCCTTGAATCTTAAAATAAGCTCTTGCACCCCTTTAAAAATTGCGAGTATATTTTTTATTTAAGAAAAAACATTTATTGCATAAACAAATGCCATGCTTATTTAAAATATATATTTATAATATAACATAAAAAGTTAGATATAAATTTTAATGGCTAGGTGGTTGTTGTTTATTCATAATAATTCTATTTAAATGAGTTTTTTTCTTCTTTTAAAGCCATTCATAAGTCATCAGATGCATTTAAGCAATTTCTGGCTTTGATGTGTAAAAGTGCTGAAAATCCCATTTCACAAAGGAAGTTGGTGGCCAAATGGTGAAAGTGTCTCTAGTGCTGCTTTTGCCACTTGTAGATAAACTTCTATCTGTTTACACCAGAACTGTAATAATTTTTCAAATTCCTTTTTTTTTAATTTCCTATATGTACATTAGCTTGTATTTCAATAAAAATCTTCTTTTAAAAGATTGTTGTCGTCCACTGAATTTGGATCAGACAAAAATGGATTGAGTATACTTCTATTACTTTTCCTGTGGAAATTTTTCCACAGGAAATATTTCCTGTGGAAAAGTACCCATTAAATGATTCACTCAATTGCTGGAGATGCATTATAATTCTTGGTACAATTATTATTTTGTTTTCCAAAATTCCAGCAAAAGAATGTTTGCTAAATTTTCATGTCCAACTCAACATCTCCAAAGTTTTAATTTTTCACTGAAATTAATTTTTTACTAGCTGTTATTATATTCTTGCCA